CCCCAAAACCCCAAAACCCCAAAACCCCAATTTGTCAAAACAATATTGAATAAAATAAATGTTAGAAGAGGAAGCGAAGTATACTTTAGAAGACACAAAACACCTCCTGAACCCTTTCACGCATGTCAGTTTGGTAATGGAGAAAGTATTTGTCACTACTAAGAACAATGATATCTCTATTAAGGAGTTATGGGACCAAATCAATAAGATAAAAGAGTCCATTGGTAGTAATAAAACTAGAGATGGTGTATATATTTCTAGTGAGTCAATACCCCAGATTGAGAGAAAAGACTCCAAGAAAGATCCGAAATCCCATAAGTCAAAATAAGAGAAACAGCAAGGAAGGCTCTGATATCAATAACTTGAGTGTGAGCTTAGACTTAAAAGACAAGAGTAACGGCAATACTTCAAATGAAGTTTCTCAGGATAATTTTAACTCAATCCTGTTGCTAGATGGCCAAGAAGACAAGAATCAGAGGATAATCGACTTGCTTAGCACTCAGGCTCAGAAGATCAGAAAGCTTGAGAAAAAGCTTAAGGATTATAAACATAGTTCCAATGACAAAATTGAGACTCTAGAGGCTGACCTGAAGATACTGACTCAAACCAGGATGAACGATTTGGATAATATGCTGAAGAACATACAGAAAGACTTTGACAAGTTTCAGGATAGCCAGAAGACTAAGGATTATAATATGCGCACTCACCTAAAGGATACTACTTATGACTTAGAAGTTTCTATCAAATCTTTGAAGAGAAATTTATTGGCTTTACAAAATGAAGTGCATGAAATTAATGAGGCTGGGACTCAGGATAAACTTCAAGAGGATCAAAAGAGTGAGAAAGCTGAGTCTACCAAGTCAGCCAAGTTGAGTAAGAAAGATAATTCTAGTAAAGCAGAGGAGCCTCAGAACTTTACTCAAAAAATTTCTTCCCCTACAAGAAAGAAGGCAACTCAAAACTCTAATGCGATCGTTATGGTCTGGGAGGAAATTGAAAAGTTACAGTCAAAGTTTGATGACTTTGTAAATGTAGCAGATTTTGAAGAACTTGCTGATGATGTTGATGATCTTAAGGACCAATTAGCCCAGATCTCACAAAACAACAAATCATACCTTAATGTCAAGGATCTTGCAGATAATGAATTCTCAGAATCTGAAGCTCTGACACCTGCAAATGTGCCTATAGGAAAAGAAAGTTTAGAAAAAATCAAAGAGTTTTCTGAGGCAAAAGAGGCCCAGAATACACCTAATACTGCTCTCAAAGTTTTCCAGGACAACAAAATCAAGAAGATATCCACTGAAGAGCAGTCTGAAGGACTTACCCCTACAGGAGGATTAATGACTCCAGGAGTGGCAAGACTTAACAATGATCTTACATCTAAAGTGAAGATCCAACATTTCTCGACAAGTGTTAAAGACGAGAGTCCCTCTAAGATCTCTCAAAACAGAAGAAACACGAGAGGTAAAAGAGGAGGTTCTTCCAAAACTCTGCAAGAAGTCAGAAAGATCATTGAAAAATGGCCATGGATGCTTGAAACTATTGAGGAGCTTCAAAGTTCTCAAAAGCTTAACTATAAAAACATTTTCCAGGTGGGAGAGAACCTCTCCGAGCTTAAGAATGAAATCAAAGAGAATGTCAAAAAGAGGATAGATAGTGTTTATAATACTATAACTGAAGAGACTAAGAAAGTTGAGGATAACATAGCCGAGCGCTTAGACAACTTTAAAGATAAGCATAGCCAAGAGGCTATAAAGACCTTGCAGCTCCAGGTTGAGAAGCTCAGCTTGCAGTTTGGCTCCACTTATAAACAACTGAAGAGCAACGAGGGCAAGATTAAAGAGCTGGATGAGTACCTCCATTCTCCATTTGGCAACTTATTGCATGGCAATGAGAACTCTGCCGAAGACTCCGCTATTACAGAATTGAGGGACACAGTTGAAGATGTGAAAAAAGTCTTAAATAAAATGAGAACAGAGGTTTACAGAACTGTTAAGGACTGCGAAAATAAGATCCTCCAGAAAGCAGATGAGGAGCTAGTGAACGACCTTGAAGAAGCACTTCATCAAGGCATTGATCAGGTAATGACCTCCTCTACGAAGAAATTCGCAGATAGAAGAGACACTAATAAATCAGTTAGGCTGTTGGAGCAAAATATGAAAAATATGTATGATCTTTTTGTCTCAAGAGAGGAGCTTGGAGATACTGATGATGCAATGATTGCAAAGAAAAACCTCGGTTTCACTTGAATGTCATGAGAGAAACATATAATTAATATGGAAGGAAAGAAAGCAGAATTCAATAACTGGGGGAAGCTGCCTTATAGAGATCCGTCTGAACGGATGATGAGAGTTGGACATGGGTTCTCAAAGATGCTAAATTCTATAAAAACCAGTATACCTAAAAATACAGAAGGTATTCCAAAAACTGTCTTAGAGAATAGTTTGAAGAGTCCTGGTGACATAACTCCAAATGTAAAGTCTACTCAAAATCTTTCGATTGACCCAAACCCTAAGACAGATGCTAATATTAGTCCGAATGCTTCAAATACATTACAAGACTTAAACAAGACAGAGGATCGAGACAAATTTTTATCTATGAAACCTAAGAAGATCAGCCTTTCTGTAATGAAACAATCAGCTCATAAGAAGGAAAGTATGAGGAAATCTCTAACTGTTATGAACAAGAATAACAGCCAAGGCGGGCTCCCCAAAATAGAGTCATCAAAGATGTTGTAGTCCATACTCAATTTCAATTATTTTGCAATATAAGGGGTTTTGGGGTTTTGGGGTTTTGGGGTTTTGGGG